CATAATTATAATAATAATTTAAAAATTCAAATTTTTATTAATTATTTTTATGTTATATTATATGGGTAATGTTAACTTGTGCCCTTGGGGCACATGTTAATAATAATGAATTTTATAAAAATATTTTCTAAAATATTCAAAAAAATTAAATTTATTTTATAAATTGAAGAGTTAAATATGTTTATGGTTCTCCTAAATATTTTAATTTCGTTTTTAGTTCCTCAAAATATATATTTTTTAAATAATGGTCATTTTAAAACTTTTCATCAACACTTTTGGTCCCTAATACTAAAACTGTCGTTAACTCAGTCACTAAGTAATAAATCGTCACTAAAACCGTCGTTAATTATGTCGTCAAGTTGTAGAAATTGTCACTAATTTGTAATAGGGACCAAAAGTGTGAATGAGAAATTATAGGAGGAACTATTCTTTAAAACAAATATTTTGAGAAACTAAACCCGAAAATTGAAATATTTAAGAAGATCACAAAAATATTTAATTTTAAATTGAAAGAATAATTTTAACATCCTATATAACATATACATTATTATTGAAGGTTAAAATATAATTAAAATCACATTTTATTTTTAAAAAATATATCTCAAAATTATTTTTTATGAAAAACTATTTAAAATAGATTCAATTTTAAGAGGTTTTTTAAAATTTTATATCCAATTTTTTTTAATAATAAAAGATAAAATACCTAAAATAATAATCATTAAAAAATTCATTTAAAACTCTTTAAAAGAATTCTTTATAATTTTTTTAAAAACAAAAATGTAAAGTTATAAAATTCCTTTTTAAAAAAGGTTAGGACAAACATTCATCTATATTCATTGACTATTTATAACACTTAGTATTTCTTTTAATCTAGTTAATCTTTTTAAAATTGTTTTCAGATATATATTATCTGAATTTATCTATATATTAATGAGATATAATATCAACAACTATCAAATCTTATTTCATTAAATAAAATTGACTATATAGATCAACTTATGTCATAATATTTTCTTTATATTAAAATATTAAAAATAAGTTAATAGTTAATATGATACTGAATTTTAAAAAGTAAAAACAATTTTTTATATCCAATATGACAAAGAAAAGAGAGCAAAACAAAAAAATATATAATTATGTTTTTTAGATGGTTTCACAAATCAAGAGATTTATCTTGTTATTTCGAATCATGAAAAGTCAAACTCAAGAAATATCTTAATATTGTGATCTATTGCAATGCTATAAAGCCAACATAAATTTAGCTTTGATTTTCAATTTTTTTTATTATAGAAATTATTAAAAGAAATATATACCAAACATATAAATAACACATCACAAGTGTAATATTAGTAAGATTTAGTTTTATTACTGAATTTAAGATTTGAGAGATTGTTTTTGTCTATGTACAACAGGTAGGAAAAAATCGATGTGATGGTTTGTCCTAAGTTCGTAATAGGTTTGTGATAAATGGCAAAACGAAAGTGATTTTTTTGTACGAAATTTGGCGTTAATTGATTCGACCACTAATGTTTTGTATAACTCTTCACGATTTTGCATTAGAATGTGATATTATTGAAATGTGTAGGAGCGTCCAAATATCACACTAGATTCATCACAAAAGAAAACTTGTCTTGCAAACTTCGCAAAGTTTGGCTTGCTAAGCGAAGTCAAACAGAAGCGAAACACGCAAATTTCGCTTGAAGCAAGAGGAGAGGCAGGGAGGCAAAGGAAAAAAACACTTTGCTAAGCGAGAGGTAGCGAAGAGAAATAGAAGCAAAATCACAAAAGTTCGCTTGAAGCGAGAGGCAGCGAGGCAATTTCGCTTAACAAGCCAAACTTTGCTATGCGAAATAAGGCAGTTTCACAAAGGCGGTTTGAAAAGACTTCAGAGTGAAGGAATGCCACTTCGTTTAGCGAGCCGTATTTTGCTAAGCGAAGTTAACTAAAAATCAGGCACTATAAAAGGACCAGAAACATATTTTGAGTGGGTTATTGGATTTTTCTAAAGACAGACAGATAGCTGATATAGAAAGAGAGACGTGTGACAGCTGAGGATACGAGCTGAATACACACTAGATAGTTGGAAAATCACGTTTGATGCTCATTCATCCCAATTCCTTCATGATTAATCAAGCTACCATGATGATGGCTAGCTAATTTCTCTCTTGTGTAGGGATTGAATTGTAATTTGTTGAATAGTATGTGTACTCATTGATCATCATATATTATAACCCAGTTGTTTATATTTATCAGATATTATTTTTGTTTTATCGATTAAGTTTATGGATTCGAATTGTTATTGACAAATACTTTTCCAATTCCGATCTAAGATAATGTTGTGTTAAACTCTAATCGCTAGATATAGGATGAAAGTATGACATTCACACAAAGTATCGAAGATTCATACTATCATATTGTTTGATAGATTGAGAAATCAACGATCAAACAATACTATAGCATTCTCGACAGGGATTTAGACATAAAACCTATTGTGAGGATACATGATGATATGAATAAACAACAAGATTATATTTTAAATTGATCAATGAATTCCTATGTATTTGGCAGATGAAATTCAATCCCAACATGTTTTATCATCTGTGAAATTCGTTTTATCAATTACAGTTTCTTACATTTTTACATTATCGAACATTTACAATCAAACCATTTCCAAAGATACTTAAATCATTAATTACTGTTGAACAATTGTAGTGTCGCACCCGTCCCTGTGGATACGATATCACATACTTACTTTTGATTACTGAACATTAATCTGATGAATGAAACAATTTAGAATATTTTTGACCAATTTTCGGAGGAGCGAAATCTTGTTGCGTAGGACCATGTGAATATGTCAATATATATTCGAGGAGGAGATTAAATCTTGAAGAAAGAAGATCATGTTGTCTGTTTGGATCTTCGATAGTAGAATACCAAGTTCTCTAAAGAAATCTCCAAAGTTATAAAGTTATGGCACGAAACTGGAGATTTAGATTAACATGTTGAACAATGTCACCATCTTTAGGAATTGACTTATGATTCCCGCTAATTTCTACAAAAATCCACTGTAAATATTTTAGTCGATCTCAAACCCGTAACACTGCGACTAAGAGGTATTGTCTGTTTTTAGAGTGAGAACCCTCACTACTTTATCCTTTAAAAAACACAACCTCATTGATTGAGGTGTATATATATTGTATATAAACTACCATTAGTCTCGATCCCCAAGCAATATGTGACTATTTTGGCCAAATCAAAAATGCTTCTCCTTAGTCTAGGCTTAGGGGCACGATGCAAACTTTGAGTTTCCAAAAACAATGTCAATATTTCAGTCGACCTCAAATAACGTTACTGTATCAACAACATACTATCTATTTTAGGTGTAAAAATGCTCACGACATTGTCCTAAAAAAACATGTCTCATTAAATTGAGGTAAATATATACGATAATAAACTACCATTAATATCAATTTTCAAACAATATGAAACTATTTTATCAAACTTGAAGAAGATCAATAAAACTACTCCTAATGAATAATATGTGCATTGTTTTGATCATCGGTATTATATATATTCTATAAGTTTTAGAAAAAGAATTATTAAAAAATTGTCATCTTAACTGTTTGTTTTTTTTTGGTTAATTATACTTCGTATTTTTATTCACTAAAATTTTGTTTGGGAATTTAAAAGAAAGAATTTAGAAAAAAAAAAAAGAATTGAATGAAAGGAATGTGAGAATTTAGATAGAGAATGGTTTAATTTGAGAGATTATTTTTATTTATAATACCAAATTTCCCTAATATTCATCTTATTTATTTATTATTTTTAGTTTATATAAAATAATTAAAAATGATAGTGTTAATCTGAAATGAGGTGAACAATTTTTTAATAGATAGTCTATTACTAACAAAATGCAAGCCGTGTTCTATGAATTCAGCCAAACTTTTTCAGAAATAAAAAACTATATAATATAGTAATTTCTAGAATACTTGTAAAGGATAAAATTCTAAACCACCTAAACAAACATGAGTAAAAAAACCATCCTTTACTTTTTTTTTAATAAGATTATAATATATAAATAAAAGAATCCTTTACTAAATACAAAGTAGTAATTTATAAACAATGAACGTAGTTGATCCGTTAAAGAAACTAATACTACTATACGGTCCAACAACGCTGACTTTCTCGATTACTTCCACCGAGAGACAACCAAGATTATAATATAAATATAAGAGTTTTATTTATTCAAACCATAGGGTCAATAATTAATATAAGTTTTATGATTAGTTAATTTAGATATTGATTTGAGTGGAGATATGCTATGTATGAGTTGTTTATAATATTGTTTTTGCGAAAATTTGATTTTTATTTTATTTATAATAAAAAATTTACCTTTTAAATTTATTAAATAAATAGTGTATTTAGACTACATAATAGATTAGATACATTAATTTTTTTAATAAACTTTAAAAATCAATTTTATCTTCCAAATATAATCAAAAAAATATTTATTTAAATGTTTTGACAATATAATATTAATTGATTAAATGATGATTAACATTAAAATTAGTGATAAATTCAATGGATCAGTTCAAATACCGAATAATAGGTGGAAATAAAAATAAATATTTAGACACCAATTTGATTAGTTTTCTTGGTTTGCCACTTTCATTGGACTTTCGTATTGAAAAAAAAATATAGTGGTAGGACCCACCACCAACTCCTCTTTTGGACTTTCATACTAAAGTAAACATTGTTTTTGTTGCTTTTCAATTCAGCCATTATTATTAAATAAAATTAAATATTACATATTGAGAATAATAATAAAAGTCCAACCAATCTGTACCGTCCGATCGACGATACTTGTTTGACTTTCTCATCCCCACTCTTTTATAACCAACCTCTTCCCCCATTCTTCAACCAAACCAAATTCTCTTCTTTCTCTCTTTCTTCTCTCTTCTTCTAATTTCTAACTACAATTTTTGGGTTCTTATTCTACCATGGTTGTAGATCCGGTTATGGTTCCCAAGATGGGATTCGAAGAACAGATTGCCATACAAGAAGCTGCTTCTGCTGGATTGAAGAGCATGGAGCATCTCATTCGTGTGCTTTCTTCTCAAACTTCGTCTTCTTCTTCCAATCAACGTAACCTTTTAGATCTTGATTGCACAGAAATAACTGATTTCACTGTTTCGAAGTTCAAACAGGTTATTAATCTGTTGAATCGTACCGGTCACGCTCGTTTTCGTCGTGCACCTTGTTCGCAATCTCAACCGAGATCTGAGAAATTGAATCTTCAACAACCGCAGTCAATAACTCTTGATTTCGCAAAATCAGTCCAAGTAGTTAAGTCTAATCCAAATCCGTATCCGAATTTGAATGCTAAATCTAAATCTAAACCTAAACCTAACCCTAATCCAACTGCTGATTTATCTGTTTCTCAATACTCTAAATCCAAGGAAGCATTCAGTATCTCAGCCACTAGTTCTTCCTTTCTTTCCACCATTACCGGAGACGGAAGCGTTTCCGATGGTAAAATAGGTCCTATCATTTCCTCTGGAAAGCCTCCTCTTGCTTCATCTCACCGGAAAAGGTGTCATGAGGCAACTGTCTCCGGTGCTGCTTCCGGTAAAGTGTCATCATCCGGTCACTGCCATTGCTCTAAGAGAAGGTAAATTACCAACTCCAAAACCTAAATCCTCAATTAAATAAATAAATAGAAATTTAAATAGATAATTGATAAATATCTTGTTGATTTTTCTGAATCAGAAAATCTCGTGTGAAGAGAACAATTCGTGTTCCGGCGATAAGCACCAAGGTCGCTGATATTCCGGCAGACGAATTTTCATGGAGGAAATACGGTCAAAAACCTATTAAAGGTTCACCTTACCCACGGTAATTTTCTTCTCCGATCACCGTCGTTCTTTGATTCATTTCATCTTGTTTAACAAATTTTAATTGGAATTAAGTATTGATTTTGGTTTATTGTTTGGAAATTTGCAGTGGTTACTACAAGTGCAGTAGCTTTAAAGGTTGTCCGGCGAGGAAGCACGTGGAAAGGGCGCAAGATGATCCCAATATGCTTCTTGTGACATACGAGGGAGAGCACCGACACCTGCCTACCTTCGGAACCACTGCCGGATTCACATCTCAGGCTCACTAAGCGACGGCGCTGGTTGGAAATTTCGTGAAAGGGTTCCGTGAGCCGCTGTTTGCAGTTATTGACGGAGTTATGTTGTAACCATAACGGTGACGGAGAAAAAACAACGGAGACTTCGAGGGAAAACAATCAAAAAATTAAAGTCAACTTTTACTTTTGTGGACAGAAATGAAAGAGTCGTCTAAGAGTTGATAAGGACTTTAGTGTAAATTCGGCAAAAGAATTATTATGAAATGAAAAATATACAAGTTTTATTTTATTTATTTATTGGTTGAACTTTGTGCAGTTTTTTAATTTAAATTTGATTTAAATATTGTGTTATTATATTCCGAGATCTAATCTAATCCAAGTTGAAAGAAAAGTATATATTCCATAGCCACGAGTTGAAAAGATAGAGTGCGAATGGAAACAAAGTCAAAGGTGCATGTTAAAGAAGAGGCTAAAGTTGGAAATGGAAAATACGTAGAATGTGGACATTGAGAATTAAAGTGTGAATTGGTATCGGAAAGGGTCCACGTCCATTTGATTCAAATCTTTGCCGTTTGTGATGGTATCCACCTATTGAAGGACCAAATCATACTTCATAAATAAAGGCTTAAATTAAATCCTAAAACAATATTTGATATTAATTAGAAACAACTTAGTTGTAATGGTATGTCTATCCAACAACCATCCATTTTTTTCTCACTAAAGATTTACCGAAGGAAATCAAATTTTCAAAAGGAAATCGACTACATTGATTATATTAAAGTTTTAAAAAACGATGTTGATAGATATTGATATTGGTATATCTCAAAATTTGCCTCTTTTTTGTTTTGTTTGATTTACTGCTCATGTCATCTGCATCCCCACTTGCCCTAATCATCTATCATAACACATTTATTTACAATTTCATTTTTAAATAAGCATCATTGATTCAAAGAGTCTTGCTACTTATGATATAAAGAGAGTGGATTAAGCGTATACTATGTCTTGATTATTTTGACACACAGAGTTTTGCTACTTATGATATAAAGAGAGTGGATTAAACGTACACTATGTCTTGACTATTTTGACACAATATGACACAATAGTGATATTTAGTTTATTCCTTACGGATCAATGCCCGTGGAACCTTTTGTGGATCATGTGGTTTGCTTCATGATATTGGATTTGATCATGAAACCATAATACTTGGTACAACCTTTAGTTATGATTGATTGGATTGCATCATGAAATAGTTGGTTTTGAAGTTCATTTATAAGTTCGACTTTTGGTGATCATGTTCATATAAGGCTTACTTAGTCAATTCTTATTGAGTATTGTTTGAATCATAACACGACACTTCATTTGGGTGATCATGAGATTCAAGCCCAAGACTCATTCAAATCAAGATTCAAGTTCATTTTCAAAATTCAAATTTGAAGGGGAACCGTTTTTCTTAAGAGTCAAACCACACAATTCCATTCAAAGGATCATCTTCATTACAAACCTTCAAAGTTTCATTACAAAGAGCCAAATTACAATTTACAGGAGGAAAATTATATATTTTTGCCTTATGTTGACTTTTGGTCAAACAGTTGACCAAAAGTCAAGATAATTCTGAGCCTACTCTAAATCTAGTTTTCTCTTGATTCTTCATGTGGTCCTTCAATTTCCTCAAAGTTTTACTCCAAAACCTCCTAATGTGCATTATGCCATGTCCAAGTTAGCCCATGTAAACATCAAACCTGCACCACAACAATAAGGCAAAACCATTCAATATAAACACATAAATCCATTCCAAGTATACACCAACCTGCAACTCATCAAAAGAAACCTGGTTTAGATGCATAATGTCACACTCTCATTTTTCACCCAGCTTTTTCACGAATTCATCAGTAGCATCATCCTTGAATATTTGAAGCAAAATGATTGAAAAGGATGAGTTTTGTTTCTCTTCAAAGCAATGGATTAGGGTTTGAGCTATAACAAGATTTAGGAATTAAGAAATCTAAGGTTGTTTGAACCTACTTCTGATTATTTGGAGGAATACAAACTTCAAGGATTTTTTCACATATGCCTGGTTCAAAGTCTTTCTTGATCAATATGAGGATGTTGAACATTGGAGTGATGACTTTCCTTTTAACTTGATGGAGATTCAAGGTTATAAGAATGATTTCTTGAATTCACAAATTCAAGTTTTATGCCAGAGTGCAGTATTCAAAATCATCACTAATTCATGTCCAAATCTCAATTCCAAGCTACAAATCTCAAGTCAGAACCAAGATATAGCATGGGGGTTTGACCTTCTTTCCAATGTCAAGCCTGAGATATCAGTGCTATCGAGGGATGGTAAATGGATCAAACTTCAAAAGCCAAGGAAGAGCTACGAGGATACCATAAGGACTATTTTGATCACTGTTTACTTCATGCATTTTGTGAAGAAGAATCCAGAAACATCAGCAAAATCTGTGTGGGATAGCTTGAGTAAGAATAAGGATTTTAGTTACTATGAAGTTAAACCTTCGCATAATGATTTGTTAAACGGCTTTAATGGGCGAAGCTACCACAAAGGATGTTGTCTTAGCAAAGTCCAAGCTTTTGCTCGCAGTTCTGAAAGATAAGGATACAATGAGGAATATGATTTTAGTTAAGAGAATTCTGGGTTGAATAAGTGGATTGACCCTTTTTTTTTCTGTTGATGAGGACTAGTCATTCTAGGTTGGAACTGATTGTAATGAATATCGCTGAGGTGATAAAGATTGTATGTTGTATCGTCGAAATATTGAGTCAGATGAGAATCTGAAGCCTTGTATGGCAGGGGGGCGTAGGACTCCTTTGTAATAATATGATTCAGGCGAGAGTGTTGTACTCGGACCCGAGATTTGTGCGTGAGACGACTGAAGAGGATAGAGGATCCAAGAGAGGCTGTGTTCTAGGGGTTACAATAGTAACCAGTGTTAGTCGAGCTTGAAGTTCGGGAACACACTGTGTCTTGTTGAACCTGTACCAGAGTAGCGCGGCAGAAGCGTGGGAAATAGCATGTTAGATTGTTGTACCGCCGAAGAGAGAAGTCGGATTTGAACTCCGTTGATTCTATGGTGAGTGGGAGCGAAGACTTTAGGATGATGATGATGGATAAAAGTTTGTATCCGAGATTCAAACTCATTGGGGGTAGAATGACTAGATGTCATTCCCGATGAGGTATAAGTGTTATGGTTGCAATCACTAGGGTAGAATGACTATGCGTCGTTCCTAGTGAGACGATCACCAGGGTAGAATGACTGAGATGTCGTTCCTGGTGGAGTGTATGTGGAGTGCCTGTAATCTCCAATGGAGATTGGTGCAGATTGACGGTCTTAATTGAGTCACGCGGCATGACTATGTTTGTGGTACGGAAGTATGCACGTGGGCGATCATGTGCAACTTGAGAATTAGAGAGCGGACTGTCGCTACTCGAAAAATGCTTCGCGCAACGACGGGGAGGCGAAGAGAAAGGACAGAAGAGTCGCCACCGAACTTTATTTATCCCATGAGGGGAAAGGAAAATATCGAGAAAACCTTAAGAAAGAAATGGATAAGATGGTCTCGCGACCAAGAACGGGTTCGGAAGCCGGTTATGTGAAAGGAAGGTATTAGCACCCTTCGCATCCATCGTACTCGATGGGAACCTTTTGTTTGTCGATGTGTGAATTATTTGCTTAAACATTATGCTATAAGAAGTGTTCCACAGGGTAAAAGAAGGGTTAGAAACATGAAAGTTAGGAGGAAGAGAGAACGGGGACGAAAAGAGAAAGAACTGACTCGGTAGGACTTCGCGGTCCTAGGCCTACGTATTCTCAATAGATGTGAGAAAGTCAGAGTCGACGTAGTTCGGGGAACTACAGATATGGGGGGAATGTGCTCGCTAAGACATCGCCGTCTTGTGCCTACGTATTCTCATCTGGTATGAGAAATCAGAGCAGCCGTAGTTCGGCCTACGGTTTGTTGATGTTTTTTATGGATGATGCTATCGTGCGCATTCTAGCAGTTAGGTGTTTTGCTGCTCGCTCGTTGGAGACTTAGGCATTACCTGTTTGCGGTAGAACGGACGTAACATATCCCTTTTTTGAAAGATTGATTAGTTTTCTCCACACGAGGCAAGAAGTCACGTTTGATTGATTGGATTTGTTTTTAAAGGGGCGAGACAGGTCCTCGGATAGTAACCCTTACAGGTAGTACCCAATTCTTTATCTCAAAGTTTTTGTTGTAAAAAATGTGTGGCGAACATAGCATCTTCGTATTGAAAGACGAGTATCAAGACCACACACACTACAGTGAGTATCCTGACACTCGGAGAGGAAGAAGACTACACTCAATCCTCTCTCTTTAGTTCAACACAAAGAGAACTTCATTCTCTTATTAAAGTGTTTTTGGTTTTGAATGGTAAGTGCTTTTTGCGACAGAGAACCCTACGGTAAACGTCAGCACTCGGGATAGGAGAAGGCCTACGCCTAACCACTCCACGACCATTCAAGTTTTTGTATGAAAAGGAATTTGAAAATGCACTCGGTACGAGACCGAGGTTTTAGGTGGGAAAGGTTTCGGAAAGGAGTTGTGAAAGGAGAGGTGGTGGAAGAAGTCGCGTCTTCGTATTGAAAGACGAGTATTGAGACCACCCTCACTACAGTGGGCATCCCAACACTCGGAGAAAAAGAGGTCTACACCCAATCCTCTCTTTTTAGTTCAATACAAAGAGAAATTTATTTTAAAGATGGTTTGAAAATGGACTCGGTACAAGACCGAGGTTTTTGAAAATGCACTCGGTGCGGAGCCGAGGTTTTAGGAGGAAAAGGGGTGGAAGCGTCTTCGTATTGAAAGACGAGTGTCGAAACCACCCTCACTACAGTGGGTATCCCAACACTCGAAGAGGAAGAGGTCTACACCCAATCCCCTCTCTTTAATTCAATACAAAGAATTGATTCCTTATTGAAGGGGTTTGAAAATGCGCTCGGTACGGGACCGAGGTTTTAGGAGGGAAGGTTTGAAAAGTCACTCGGTGC